TTGTAAAAAAAAATTAAATGTTTATAAAAAAAAAAGTGAAACTTCCAGTTTTTTTTTTCATCTCAAATGTGCTAGAGATTGTTATAAGTACAGCTTTCTCTTTTCCAAATTCCTTATAAATGGTCCCATCTCCTGTTATCTCAGAACGCAACTACTACAAGACTGACTTGTGTCTCTTCCATATTCATATACTGAAGCTCCAACCTCCAAGGTGAAGGTATGTGGAGCCTTTGGGAAGTATTTAAATGACATCATGAGGGTGGGACTCTGACATGGTTATGCCCTTGGAGGAGACATCAGATAGTGTGGTCTTTTCTCTTTCTCTCAGTAAGAAACTAGCTGTCTGTAAGCCAGGAAGGGAGCCCTCACCAGACCCCAAACAAGCTGGCACTCTGATCTGTAACTTCTACCCTTCAGAATTATACGAAAATAATTCCTGTGATTCAAGTCACCTGATCTGTAGCATTCTGCTACAGCAGCCTGGGCTGACTAGCACAGAAACCTCAGTTCGAAACTGTCCTTGTACATGTAATAATTAAAATAAGGTCACTAGGGTAGCACTGAATCCACTGTGGCTGGTGTTCTCCTGATAGGGGGCCATCCGAAGAGGCAAATAAGTACAGCGGGAAGATGATGGGAGTAAGAACAGGGACAGGACAGCCATGCAAAAGCCAAGGAGAGAGGACTGGACCAGGAAGATCCTCCTTCCAAGGCCCTGGAAAGACCCAACTGTGCTGACATCTTCATCTCCGGTTTCCAGCCTCTAGACCCGAGACAACACAGTTGTGAGGTTGGCTAGCTTGTGCTATCTGTTCACACCAATGAACTAACACCACCTTGAAAATGGGGTAGTCACTTTCCTGTTAGGAAACAGAACATGCGAGACCCTTTCATGCTTGGGAAAAGCCAGATGTGTGTTACAGTCTAATAAATGATACATTAAGTGCAACCTTTCAATTTTAATAAATAGATGATAAAGTTTTGGAAATGAAAAGTTGTTTTCTATAGCATCCAAAGCCATGAATTTACTAGCTATTCTTCCTCTGTTACATATATGAATGTTTAATACTTACAGCTTATGTGAAATATTGTTACTTTGTTAACTTTAGGAAGAAACTAACACTTCTATGGATATTAGTATTTTCAGAGAACAGTCAATATGTTCTCTTTTAAAATAATGCCAGATGTCTACATGAATTGAGATTCTGGCTAATAAAATACATTGTTTTAATGTAAACTAAACTAAATACATTATAAAACATCAAAATAATATTATCTAAACCTTTTAGAGTTTATGGTACTGAAAATATTTATTTTGTTTCTAACAATAACCTACTGGAAATTTAAGCATTTGGGCTTCACTTAGAAAGGAAATACTATCAAGCAGGGCCCATGCTCCTGCCACAGTGTCCCTGGCCACAGGTGAAGGAGTGCAGGCTGCTGGATGAGATGAAAGCCACAGGCTCTCGATTCCAGACCCCAGCATTGACCCATGGACACCCATGCTGATGTCACGGTACTTCATCCCTGCATCAACAAGGCCCTGGCTTGTTCAGCAAAAGGGCGCCCACCTAAGCCCTTGCTACTCACACACTCGTCTTTAGAGTCATACTATGACACCTATGTCTGAGAAGATGCATATACATATTCTAGGATGAAGGGGAGAGATTAGTACTCATACATGGAATCGTGATGAAGTTGCCCAAACTTCATGTAAAGGTAACACAAAAATCGACTTTATTTTAGTGACTTCTATGATAAGAAGATGATCTTTACAATGGGCACTCGGAACACACTGGTTTCCAGCTTTGTGAGCGCACTAAGGAAGTGTCTTCTAGGAAACTGCACAGCAATGATGCATGAGGATTTCTAACCGCAGCTGAATGAGTAAGAGTAAGAATGGCAAGTCCCTGAGCTGTGATACTAAGTGGCACAGGACCTCCTATTCATTACACTGCCCCGTGCTCCTCACAACTACACTGCTCAGAATGCGTCAACCTCGTTCTGTAGACGGGAAGATGAAACTCAGCGACGGTCAACTGTTTGCCCAGGTCTCTCAGCTGGAGGAGTTAGAACTGGGCTGTGCACTTGACCACTTCATGCTTCTGCTTTCACAGATGGGTCTACTTTGTTAATCTAATCCCTGCAGAATTCCATGGGAATCTGTCTGCTGTCCTCTTTAACATAAATGCAATCCCATTGAGTTTGGTTATGTGATCACCTAAGATTAGAAATAATCATAATCATTCATATATATATATATATATATATGTGAATATATGTGTGTGTATATGAATATATATATGTATATGTATATGTATAATGTTGTTACTGGTTTCATTCATGATTCCTGTCCCAGAAGGTTCTTCCCAAGGCCAACCAAAGATATGCTAGTCTTCCTCCCGCTTTTCTGTATTAGAGCAGGCCATTAAACTTTGATCTGATCTTGACTGACAGCAGTTCCCTAAGTCTTAAGACCCTCCTCACTCCAGAAGTGTGCTGCACATAGCCTTGAGGGAAGAATGATGACCTGTGCACAGCGAGGTCACAAATGATGCTTAGAAAGACACACCTGTTGGATTCCCACACCACATCTACTAGCAATCAGACCACACAGTGAAGTTTCCATAAAACCCAATGACAAGTTCAGGAGCTTTCAGACAGTTGAATGCATGGGAATTCCGAGAAGTTGGCATACCCAGGGGGAGGGCAGAACACTTTACACTTTTACCCAGACCTCTTCTGAGTATCCTGCATATGTACCCTTTGGATGGTCTTTACAAATAAGTTGGTTTAAATATTTCTAATTGAACCCAAAGAAGGGACTCTGGGAGCCCCAGCGTGGACCCACTGGTTAGAAGCACAGGTAAAACTAGCTCAGTCTTGTGAGTGGTACCTAGATGGGGTGGACGGCCTTGGGGTCTGAGCCTCAGCCTGTGGGATCTGCTACCATGTCCAGGTAGCCAGTGTCAGACAACTGGTGCCATGTTTGTGGAAAACCCTCCAACACTATATTGTGTATACAGTAAAATAAACAGTACGAGTTTGACTCAGGGGCTTGTTTGTTTTTCCCAGAACATGCATCAAATTGAAAAGGTTCAGAGGAGAGCTTCTGTATGCAGAAAACATTAAAAAATACAAAAATGTTGAAACAGGAACCTAAAGCATATCAAATAGGATTATCCAGGGCAAGGAAAAAATAAGCATAGCTTGGGAAGGAGCAGGCAGAGACCAAGAGAAAGTAGCTCCATTTGCTGAGTAACTCTTGTGTGCCAGGTGGTTACCATCCTCATCTGCTAATCCTAAGTATGGCCAACTATGCAGACTGTTCTGTCCCCCATATTGAGGCTCAGGGAAGCTTGGCAAGCTGCCCTGGTTCTCAGTGCAAAGTCTTTGCTCTCTATCTCCTATCCCACATAGATTCAGAAACAAAAACAGGGCTGGGGGTATTGAGTCTTGCCTAGAATACCCACAAGGCTGTGGGCTCTATTCCCAAGACTTGGGAGAAAAGAACGAAAGAAAACAAAAAAGACAGGAAAAGAGAGAGAAAAGGAGAGCAGGAGACCGTGGAAAGGTTCTCTAAAATGATCCTAACAATGCTGGGTGGGTGGTGCACACCTGTGAGCCCATCACCCCCCAGGAGGCTGAGGCAGAAAGATCCTGTGTTTGAGGCCAGCCTGGGTTGTTACATAACAAGATTCTGTCTCAAACAAAAATGATCACAGTGGAAACATTTGCTGGCACCAACAACCATCTGGAAACTTCCCCACCTCAAATGCCATACTCCACAGACAAGTGAGACATCAGACTTTGTTTCTTCTTCCTAGCTTTAATGTATTCCGACTTGAGCTGGATGTGGGGGTTCATGCCTGCAATTCCAGCATCCTGGAAGCAGAGGTAGGAGGGTAAGGCTCTCCCCTGATAAACAGCTAGTTCCATGATGGTCTAGCTTATATGAGACCTTGTCTCAAAAAAAAAGAAAGAAAAAATCAAATGTGAAACCCCCTAAGCCAAGGCCAGGCACATGGGGATTTTCCAATGCTCTCCTCCTACCTTTCACTGTCTGGCATTCTTTCTCTAAATAACAGTATGGGCTCTGGATTTTACTTAGTGAACATTCTTCATGAATTCAAGGCATTCTGCCAAGAAATATAGAGAGGCATGGGAATGCTGTTAGAAGAGTTAGATCAGAACAGAAACAAACATGTGTGCACACAGAGTGTGGCCACACGCTTTGCTACACCAGGCAAACACAAGGGCTGAGCTCCCCTTGCACAAGGGCTGGCTCCCCTTGCACCTGGGGTCAAGTCAGAATGAATGAGCTGCTCCAAACAACACACACAACTGTGTGTGCTCTGTACCTGTCCCGAAGCCTAAATGAGGAGGGCAGCCAGGCTTTCTTGCAGTAGTGAAAATAAGCACATTTCATTTAGCCCAGTGGTTCTCAACCTTCCTCAGGCTGCAACAGTTCCTTGTGCTGTCACGACCCTCAACCATAAAATTATTTTGTTGCTACTTCATAACCATAATTTTCCTACTGTTATGAATCATAATGCAAATATCCATTTTCCAATGGTCTTAGGTGACCCCTGTGAAAGGGTCGTTAAACCCCACCAAAAGGGTCATGACCCACAGGTTGAGAACCACTGATTTTAGCTACTTTAAACTGTAGACTCAACACCCCTTCCATGTATGACCTCCTCACTCCCACGCTGCACCGCTGGCCCAGATGTATTCCATGCATGCTCCCCACTCCCACGCTGCACCGTTGGCCCAGGTGTATTGCATGCATGCCCCCACTCCCATGCTGCACCCTGGCCCAGGTGTATTCCATGCATGCCCCCACTCCCACGCTGCACTCCTGGCCCAGGTGTATTCCATGCATGCCCCCCACTCCCACGCTGCACCACTGGCCCAGGTGTATTCCATGCATGCCCCCCACTCCCACACTGCGCCGCTGGCCCAGGTGTAAACCCCAGTGCCCACTTAGACTTGATTACCCCTGGTGCAGGCCTGCCATTGGTGTCTCTCTCAAGGGGAAGAGCTTGGGATAGACGAAGGTAAACATGGGCTCACTACACCGGTGACAGTGTCCCAGGGGGCAGTGCAGCAGCTCCAGGAGACTTCTGGGTAACGATATTGGAGACAAAAAGTTCAGACCTGGAACACAAGAGAAAAATCGGGCCCATGAGTGAAAAATCCTATTTCCTTACACTAGACATTTGAAAATACTTCTCTTTGTTACCAAATAAGTTCAAATAGTTAAAAGTACTTCATGTTGAAAATTCTGCTATCTGATAGGTATTCAATAAAAATCTAACATTATTAGGAAATGAAAGCTGTTTTTTATAGTTTTGATACTAAAGGAAAACGAAAATCCACTCTTTTAAGAGCAGCTAGAAGCTGTCCTGAGGCAGAGGCAAGGAAAGAATCAGATCAAATAGTCTTTAGGAACAAGGATCAAAAAGGTATCTGTGGACACAGAGCGGGTTTGCAGGCTTTCATAAGTCAGAGAATTGAAGGAAGCTGAGGTCTGAAGGCTCCCCCCAACTCCCATTACGTCCTCCCTGAAGCTATCAGGCCCTTGGTCAATTAAATGCCAATGAAAGCTGGATTGTGAAAGGGCTAATTATTGAGAGCGATCAGACGCTGGAAGTCAAAGAGAATGAGTGAAAAACCAGGAAGCCAAGCTTTCCCTGTTTCATTCTCGTGAACAAAAATAGTGAACTCTCTTTCCCAGCTTGGTCCGAGCCACAAAGGACACAGTTAAGCAAACCGGCTTACCCCCCCGCCCTGCCCCGCCCCGCCCCGCCCCGCCATACACACCCAGGCATCTTGACACAGGTTTACACGAGCTTTTAATACTCTTGTTAAACACACAATGGAAGGAGGAATGCGCAAAATGAGGAGAAACCCGAGGCTCATCAGCTAATCTTGGCAAGGAAACAAACTGTCTTTTTAGCCTTTTATATCTGCCCGGAATGAACAATATCCACTTAGAAAAATATAATTTACATATAAGTAAGTAACTGAATTTTTTCTGTTCAGTATAAGCAAAAAAGATAAACAAAAAACCAGTTTACAGACCAGCAATATGGCTTAGTAGGTAAGGGTGATTGCCACCAAACCTGAAGACCTGAGTTTGATCTCTGGAACACACATGGTGGGAGGAGAGAACTAACTCCTCCAAGTTACCCTCTGACCTCCACACGTACACTATGCGTGTGCATGCATACATACATACACACACACACACACACACACACACACACACACTCCATAAATACACTTTTTTGAACAGCTTAGTTCCGGACTAACTAGATACTCCTGGAGGGGTAAGTTGTTTCCATTGAACTCCGTGCCCCCTCCCCAGATGCAAAGACAAAAGCAGTTAGCAGTTTTAAAAACACGTGACATAAGGTTGGCTCAGTTGTTAAGAGCACTTGACACTCCAAGAGTGGACTGAATTTGAGTCCCAGCACCCATGTCAAGTGTGGGAGAATGTGATGCCCTGTTCTGGCCTCCATGGGAACTCCTCAGTCCCATATATGTACTTATACACAGATACACACATAAATAAAAATTTTAAAATATGAAATATATTTTATGAACACTGCTCTGGTCATTTGTTTATTCAAGTTTGTTTCCGTTTCTCTCCCCCATTCTGCTGGCACTGGAACTGGCCTTAGAGCACTGTACATGCTCTGCTACTGAGCCATGACCCAGTCCTACCCAGTGCTTTTTTTAAATTTTTAATTTTATTTTTTAAAATTTTATGTGCATTGGTGTTTTGTGTGCATGTTTATCTGTGTGAGGGTGTTGGATCCCCTGGAACTAGAGTTACAGACAGTTGTGAGCTGCCGTGTGGGTGCTGGGAATTGAACCCAGGTCCTCTGGAAGAGCAGCCACTGCTCCCGACCACTGGGCCATCTCTCCAGCCCTCCAGTGCTTTCTTGAGGCGCCTCAGATACATGCCAACAATACCTCTACAGTCTACATATGGCTAGACCCTTTCCAAAACAAGCATTGGCCTGCTTGATCACACTGCCAAGGGCTTCTCGTATTCCTTCACCTTACATTTGCTGGCGACCAGGAGACAGAAATGTAAAACCTAGCTCTTCTGGAGGAGATACTCAACTCTGCTTCGCTATGCCAGCCAAACACACCTCCCCACACCAGTTTCTGTAACTTTAAACATAGTTTCTCTGGGAACTGCTGTCCTTTGCAATGAAAACCACATTTTAATGAATGCTTCTCTGTGTCTGCAGGGGGTGCCAAAAGAACCAGTGTTGAAAATATTAAAACTTTTAAAAGAAAAGCCCTAGTCCTGTACATATGACCGCAGGACAAGCTTCACGGAAGGCTGGGATGGGAAGACCACTAATACACTCAACACCAGGGAGCTGCACACTTGGGTAAAATGGTCAGTTTAGTGTGAAATGTGCACATTGTCGTGATAACAAAAAAATTTACGATGAAAACCAAAACAGACAGGATAAATAAAAGCCAAGTATTTGTTTCCTGACTGAGACAGAAGGCCCATGTGCGTACCTTTCGGAAACCTGTGGTAGGTGTGGTAGAGACTCCGCATGGCCAGTTCCTGCAGAGGCAGGACGTGATCATTCTCTGTGCCGATGGCCTTCACCTCAGCTGGGAGGAAGACGGTCAGCTGCCCAGATGAAAAGGAGAGCAGCTTCACCTCAGACACCTGGATGGTAACGCCACAGCTGTATAAAGACACAACACAGCGGCGTCAGTAATGAGGTAGGGCTGTGAGCCTGCCCACAAGGTGATCACAATGTGTATGTGACAATTCACGGTGGCTGAGCTGCCAGCTTCCTTTCCAAGTGAGAAGATGCTGACTGACCCAGGCTCTCCCTCAGTCCTGGCTCAGGGACACAGACAGCAGCTGGAGTGTGGCTGCGGCATCACTTTAGCAAGGCTGCCTCTGCAGCAGCCTTTCCTCAGAGCATCTGGGAAGCTTGGTGGGTGAGCTCCGCCGTCCCCCATTTTACTGCCCTTTCTAAGTTAATGCTGCCAGAAGCTTTCAAGTTAATTTTGAAATTCACAGGGAATTTGAAATTCACAGGGAAAGTACAGGGAATTCACTACATGGAAGAGGCTAGCCTTGAACTTGCAGAGATCCTCCTGCTTCTGCCTCCTAAGTGCTGGGGTGGCAGGTTACACTACCATGCCAGGAGTTCAGGAGTGGAGAAAGAGCTGGAGAGATGTCTAAGCAGGTAGAGCACTTGCTATGCAAGCCTCACAACCTGGGTTTGAATGTGAGGATTGCCCAGAAAAGCCAGACACAGGAACACTGACATCTGCAACCCAAGTGTGTCCCTACCAAGAGATGGGAGATGGGGACAGTGGACTTGCCTGATTTCCCTCAATGATGGAATTCGATCTAGAAGTATGAAACAAATCCACCCTTTTCTCCCTAAGTTGCTTTTGGTCAGTGTTTTTATCACGGCAACAGAAAGCAGACTAGAATGACTATTAAGACAGTATCTTTGACTTTGGCCGAGAAGGCAAGGACACACTGGGCACAGGACTGGAAGGCAGAAGCCCTGGGCTCCTTTGTTCATTACAAGTTCATCCTGTGTCCCTTCCTTCATCCCACTGGAAAAAAGTTATACAGCACAGTTAGTCTGTAACCCTTGTAAGGCGGGGCATGGATTCAGAGGGGTTCACTTTGACTTAGAGCTAGACAGTTTTAGCAGGAATGAAGGCTGGTACATCAGGATGCCACATGGAATGAAGAGTGGCCAACAGCAATATCAGAGCCTGAAGACTCAGGCTGTGCATGCATCTCAGGGGCTGGAAAAAGGGAGCTGGGTTGTGCAAGAGTGGGCCAAAAAGGTAAGCTGAAGTCTTCATGGTGAAGACTACTGGATGTCTCTTTCCTAACTGGTGACATGGACAGAGAAGAGACTGATTCCAAACAGGGAAAGAAAACTAAAGACACAAAAGGAAACAGGACCAAGGAAGTGATTAGGGTCTGGACAAAGGTGGGACAAGAAGGGGTGTGGAATGGCTAGTTGGGTAAGAAACCAGTGTCCTTCTCCGCAAGTTGTAAAAGCAAATAACTCATACTTTCTAACTACTGGTAATTTGGGGGGGTTTCATCTGTTTTAAAGAGAAGTTTCATTACATTTCAGAAGCAGGGAAACCGGAGATGGACTGGACTAATTCCACTTAGTGACTTCTCTTTCAAAAGAGCTGGTTTTGTTCATCTGATCACATGAGCTCTGGTATTTTAGCCAGGAGTCTTTTTTTTTTTTAAAGGTTATTTCAAAACTATCTAATATTATAAATTTAAATTGTCAAAACAACATAACTTATTGCCACGAGTTAAGCAGTTAAAAAAAAAATGGAGAAAAAGTGAATGATTTTTTTTCTGGGCTTCCATCTTCAAATCCTCCCTCCAGTCTCTAAGTCAGGCCCAATGCTGTTTTGGTGGTCTTCAGTTTTCTCTCTCTATGCTCATGGGGAAAAAAAGGCAGCGACAGACTCTTTCTTTTGCTCCCCTCCCCCCAACCAAATGCGCTCACACAATACCATAATACTCTGCTCTACACATAAGCATGTGGCCGTCAAGCTAGAACCAGAGAAATCTTTTAAACAGCCATGTAATGTCCAGAGTGTGACTAACACATTTACCATGTTCATCTCAGTTTTTTCAGTTCTCCCTATCATCACACCGAGTCACAATAAAAGTAACACATCCTATGTACAGAAATTGTCACGTAACAAAGATATAAATACCGAGAGGTTCTAAATTGTACTATCCAAAGACTGCAGGATAGTACTTGCTTATATAATCATAACTGAGTTACCAGTCACCTCAGTCTTTGGCAGACCTGACAGATGAAAATCAACAGTTTGGTTTCTGAGTTTATTGTTGTTAATATTCTGACCTGCCCCCTTGAAGCCCCGCCCCTTGGGGGTCGCCCTGTATCCTGACGTAAGTCTCTTTTTAAGGAAAAACCCTGCCCCTCCCCCCTCTTTCCTCCCACAAGGTGTACACCGCTCGAACCCCCTCTCTCTTTCTGTCTCTCTTTCCCACCTTTCTCTTCATCTCTCTATTATAATAAACTCTCCACATGGATGCAGTGTCTGGGTTGCGAATTACTTGCCGCTGCCACTGCCATGCCCCACATGGTGTGCATCTGCCCAACATGCCAGCATGGCTCCCTGCATGAGTGGGATACCCTGGCCCAGCCAGCAGTTGGTTTCCCGCACGTGCATAATTCATAACAATCACCTTTGGAGATGTCTAGTGGTCACTCACATCTCTTCTGTGACCGATCCATTTACACTGTTTGCTTAATGTTCAATTGAATTTACAAAATCAACTCTTAGAACCTTTCATATTGGCAAACCCTTGGTACACACAATGAAATACTTCTATCAGGTCACTTTGGAGATGGTGTTTTTCCCCACCCACCTGCTATTCCAAGCATCCATTTCCTTCACCCAGCAGCCTCTCCCCTGCATTTCATGCATCCACCACCTCCTTCACAGCATCGAACTCTTCTGATTTTGTTAGGAGGGTTATCCTTATGCTTCTCCTAGTTACCTATCATATTATTTTACATTACATTTATCTTTTTTTTGTCCATGATATAAAATAGAACAAACTGTAGCATTATCAAATAAAATAAATGTTTGCCTCTGAATTGGAATGTTGTCTTCACTATATCAAATTCCTAATCAAATACTTTTCAGTTTGCCTGAGGAGGTTCTGATCCATTTCGGACATTTGTTTAATCCATTGTCCATCCTACACAGTTCCGATTAACCCACTTCACAGAAGATTGTCGGCTGATATGTCTGCCTGCAGGATCCTTCTTAAATTCTTTGTATTGTAACTCTCCCTTGCTTTTATTCGCCTTGAACTTTACACTAGTTTTATTTGGACATCTCCCACACTTTCCTAGGTTTCAATTCTTTCAACATGGAGTCTAATATTGATTGCTGGTTTACCAGAGGAAGACCACCCCCTCCTGTTTGCTGACAGGCTTTTCTGCTTCTTTGTCTTTTGAATTAGAAATGTCTGCTTTTCTTCTCCTTCATGGTAAGTAGGATATAAAGTAGTGGCCATCTTAGGGACTGAAACCTTATTCCAACTCATCTCAAGTTGCACACTGAGTCAACTGCTAAGTGACTAGAAGCTGCCAGAAGGTCACTGTACATGTGAGGGTCCAGCCAGGAGTCAGGAAAAAAAAAAACCAACTAGCCAAACAAACAAACAAACTCCACCTATAATTGAACAGGGAAAACTCTTAATAACTAGTGAAAAGACTTAATTACTAAAAGGAGCTGTGATGGCTAATACTGACTGCTAACTTGACAGGATCTAGAATCATTTAAGAGAAAAACCCCTGGGTGTGTCTGTAAGGGCATTTCTAGATCAGGTTGGGGCAAGAAGGCTCTCCTCCCTCCTGTGGGAGCACCATGCTATGGGCCGGGGTTAAAGACTGAAGGAAAAGCAGAGAGCAAGCTGAGCACCAGCATTCATCTCACCCTGCTTCCTGGCTGCTCTACTGCCTCGGCTTCCTGCGGTGACGGACTGTAGCCCTCAAACCGTGAGCCAAGACAAACCTTCCTTCTTTAGTGGCTTCTTGTCGGGTACTCTGTCATCGAAAAACCAGCCAACACAACAACAACAACAACAACAAACCCTGACCCTGCTGTGTGGAAGAAACAAGAGCAGAAAGCAGGTACTCCTTCTAGAATATAAGGAACACGAAGGAAAAAAGGAAAGCACAGGAAACCCGGCCACTGCTGGGAACTCCTTGGGGCCCACAGTCCTTGGGCTGAGGGTAGGGTAGGAGGGCTGAGTACTACAATGTTTGCTGTGTGGTGACCCAACAGGAAGGGGATGCCTCATGTAAGGAAACAATGACTTAGGAAAATAACAGCCATCTGTCAAATGGAATTTTGGCAAATGTCTTATTTTTTGTGGCAACCTGGCAAGGGCATGGTGCCCAGGTATTGAGTCAAACACCAGGCTGGCTGTCCTTGTGGAGATATTTTTAGACGGGATTAACATTTATATTAGTCGACTGAGAGTAAAGTGCATTGCCCTCTGAGTAAGACTGGTGTGCTCAGGTGAAGGCCAAAACAACTAAGACGGAGCTTCTCCATGGAAAGGGGAATTCTGCCCTTCCCTACAGATCCTGAGAAGTCTCCGTGACTGTGGGAACTGAACCCTGACAAACTCATGTAGTAAGACAATATTACCTATTTCTAAACTTCAGTTTTTATGTTGTATTTTTAGTGAGACAGGCATTTGTATACTTCTCTGAGGAGAGCATTCTTTGTGGCCTTGTGGATCAGTCACCTCAGAGACTCAATATCATGAATGGTCACCATAGGGTCATTTTTATACAGCATAAAATAGCCCTTGGCCTGGGCAGGACTGATCTGAGCTGTAGCTTGAAGGATGTCTTTACATCCACATTGAACTTTACCTCCACACTGAATAATGAGAACCCTGAGCAAAAAAAAAAAAAAAAACAAACAATAAAAATATGGAGTTAAAAGCATATTAAAAAGTTGGCTTCCAATTTATGATCCTTCTCTGATTGGCCTCCTGAGTGCTGAGATTATAGTACATCATTCATGGATATTTAGTTCACATCACGGCTGCTTTAACAGCTGCTGCTTCCTAGACCAATCCTGAGTGTTTTTGCATGGACAATGCCCAAACCCAGTAACA